TCTTCAAAAACATTGCAACAATAATTTGAATCATAGACCAACAATTTATTGCACTGTAGGAAAACCTAAAAAAAACTGTTTTCCAACACATAGTTCGGACTCAAATATGGTAAAAGTTACAAAAAAACAGTGTATGGACTTAGTAGGATCAGGATTCAAAAAAATTAATTCGGGCTTAAAAGGTGGTGTAAGAAATTTTTTTTTGAAAAATAATACAATCGTTTATGACATTGTCGATTTCATGGTTGAAATAAATCACGAAATAATAAATTTATTAAAAATGTTAACTGTAAAGGGTATGGTAAAATTCAATGTTTTACTACATACAACGTACTTTCATACTGTAACTGGTGAGTTCAAAGATGTATCATTCAAGTCGCGCAATAAAACAGTAGACTTAGGAACTGATTTTACATCAGTAATGGAAAAAATAACATTAAAGTTGGAAACTGAAAAACAAGAAATGGAAATCAAGCAAAGTGGATGGTCGCTAATATCAATTGATGGTATTTTGTTGAGAGTACATAAATTGAACCCACTGAAGGGATCATCGTATATTGAATTACCATCGTGTATAAAAAACAAAAAGGCTGTTGTAAATATTAAAAACGATGATCAACAATGTTTCAAATGGTCAATCTTATGTCATTACAATAAAAGAGTTAAAAGAAGTGATTGGAATGTTGCATATGTTGAATTAGAACAACGTTTGAACATAGATTTTTTTGGTATTGATTTTCCAACACCAATTGAACAAATTAATCGCTTCGAACGAAAAAATCCTACAATATCGGTAAATGTGTATGCGTTGGACAATAAAAACATTGTTTTTCCATTGCGTGTAACTAAATCCAAAACCGCTACAGATCATATTGATTTACTATACTTGAAAAATAATGAAACTAGCCACTATTGTTACATCTCAAAATTTTCAAGGCTTGTATCAAAACAACGCTCAAAAAGTAAACGACAAGAATATCATTGTAAACGATGTCTCAGCGTATTTAACGAGCAACCGTTATTAACTCGTGCGAGTGGGAAAGAGGGACTTAAAGAACATGTAAAAATGTGTGGAAAATTCAAGGAGGCTCGCATTGTTCTACCACAGCCTAACTCTGATCTTTCAATATTATGTTTTAAAAACACAAGACGAGAAGAAGCAATACCGTTAGTTATCTACGCTGATATGGAAAGTTTACTTGTTCGAACGATGGAACAAATATCGGACAAGTCTATGATTGTACAAAAACATAAACCAATGAGTTATTGTTTTTACTTAGTACGCAACTCCAAAATATTACCGCAAAACATGTGTCAGGGATTACCGGAGGAACCAGTAATGTATCGAGGACCTGATGCTGCTAAACATTTTGTATCAGCGTTGGTGGATATTGGAAAACAAGTATCAGATATCATGAAAATTAACATCGAGATGAATCCTCTAACTTCTGAGGAACAACATCGTTTCAATACCACAAAACATTGCGACTCGTGTTTAATAGAGTTTACCGATAAGTTAGTAAAAGTCAAGGATCATAATCATTGGACGGCAAAATTTCGAGCTGTTTTATGCCACAAATGTAATTTACAACGACGATATTCAGCATTCATACCAGTTATCATGCATGGTCTTTCAAACTATGACTCGCACATGATAATACCAGAAATGGCTTACGACAATAAAGACATTACTGTTATAGCACAATCCGAAGAAAAATATATTTCGTTCAGTAAGACAATAAGCGATTATTTTCAACTTCGATTTATAGATTCATATCGATTTTTGCAAGCGAGTTTGTATCAACTTACAACCACCTTGACTTTACCTGATTTTGCACATACATTAAATGTCTTTAAATCGTTGGAGTTGGTCACACGGAAATCGGTTTTCCCATACGAATACGTAGACAGTTGGGAAAAACTCGACGAAAATCAGTTGCCAACCCGCGAAAATTTTTACAGTTCCATTACGAAAAATACAGTATCCGAAGAGGACTATGAACATGCAAAAAAAATGTGGCAACACTTTGAATGCAAAACTATTGGTGATTATAGTGACAAGTATTTACTTGTCGACGTTATGGTATGTTGTTAATTTTTTTAGTAATTAACAATTATAAATACATTTATTTTTTAGGTACTTGCTGACATATTTGAAAAGTTTCGCGCGGAGAGTTTAAAAAATTATTCTCTGGATCCCACTCATTATTACTCATGTCCAGCCCTATCATTTGATGCTATGTTAAAATATACTGATGTCAACATTGAATTGATAACAGACCCAGATATGTTATTAATGTTTGAATTGGGTATACGTGGAGGTTTGACACAAGTATGTGTGATTATTAAAAATATAAAAATATGTTTAATAATATTTATAAATATATACATATTTATATATATATATATTTAATATAGGTCAATCAGCGGTATGCTCGAGCAAATCATCCAGGTATCTCTGACTACAATCCCAATATTCCACATAAATATCTTCAATACCTAGATGCTACAAATTTATATGGAACAGGTAGTTTTTTTTTTAAAATAAAAAAAATTAATATTTGTGTAAAAAAACATTTGTTTTTTTAAGCAATGATGGAACCGATGCCACTTGGTAATTTTGAATGGTCAACTGTTACATTGGAGGAAATACTTGACACAGCTGAGGATGCTGATCATGGATATCTTGTGCAAGTCGATGTAGATTATCCACAACATTTACATGATTTACACAACGATTTACCATTTTTTCCGGTAAACGAGCGACCACCTCTACCGTCTGCCAAATACAAAAAACTGATGACCACATTGTTTCCAAAACGTAATTACGTTGTACACTATCGAACATTAAAGCAAGCGGTAAAACACGGTGTGGTTATCACAAAACTGCATAAAGTCATAAAGTTTAAACAATCTCGATGGTTGGCACCCTACATCCAAATGAATACAGAATTACGTAAAAAAGCCTCCAACAAGTTTGAACAAGATCTACCAAAATATATGATCAACTCCAACTATGGTATTACTAATATTTTTATACGTTTAATTTTTTTAATAATAAAAATTTTTAATTTTACTAGGTAAAACATTGGAAAACGTGAGAAAACATCAAAATATTCAACTTGTTTGTAACGAAGATAAATTATCAAAACTGGTAGCGAAACCGTCGTTTGGTCACACCACAATATTTAATGAAAACCTTGTAGCTGTACACATGTATAAAGAAAAAATTAATTTTTTTAAACCCATTTTTATTGGACAGGCCGTGTTGGATATTAGTAAATGTATCATGTACAAGTTTCATTATGATATAATGCAACCATTTTATGGTCCTGAAAGACTTAGACTCGTGTATATGGATACAGACAGTTTTATTTATTTAATATTAACGCATAGTTTTCAGGATGATTTGAAAAAATATCTGTTTGAATACTTCGACACTTCCAACTATCCCACTGATCATCCATGTTACAGTGATAAACGTAAAAAACAACCGGGTACATTTACCGACGAATGTAAAGGTATGCATATGGAGGAAATTGTTGCACTTTTGCCCAAAGTCTATGCGTACCTGATTGCCTACAAAAATTATAAAAACGTTTTGCGGCAAGAAGAAGTGAAGCGATTGAAGGGTATTAGTATGGGTGTAGTGAAACATGAAATAAATATGGTTGACTATTTAAATTGTTTGCGAAATAAACTAAAACAAATTCACAAGAAAATTTCCATCATACGTTCAAAACATCACAATGTTTTGACGGTAGAAACGAGGAAACTCGCATTGTCCAACAACTATGACAAGCGTGCAATAGTCGGTGACGAGTTTGAGTATAAAAATGTATATACAAAAGCGTGGGGACATTATTCTTTAAATACATAACAATTTATTTTGTATAAAATATATTATTGTATTTAGTATTTTATTAACAATATATGTCAATTTATTATATAATCTTTAATTTATAATTTATTTATAAAAAATATACTTATTGTAGAAATAAAAATGAATATTATAAAGTATTCGTGTTTATATATATATATATATATATTTTANTATTATAAAGTATTCGTGTTTATATAAATATATATATTTTTTAATACAATAGCGTTACATGTTATAATTCATCCATTGTTTTAAACATATAGTCTTATATAAACTGCACATATTTGGGTTGTTCATGTGTCGGATACAACATGGTTTTGTAACACAACTTAAATTGTACAGAGGAGGACAGTCCAAATCCTCTACGTTGACTATACGTTGTCCTGGTATGTACTTTTCCACTACTCGCTTTTTTACAGCTCCCTTCACGTAAATGGTTTCGCATCGCAAGAGTTTCATTATTTTATTTTTTATTTTTTATTTTTATTTTATTTTAAACGGACGTTAGTTTTTAAATTGATTAAAAATTTTTGTTGATTAATATTTGCCCCTATATTCATCCGTACGGCAAAGTTCTAATTCTCATTTATACTTGGGATCTTTATTTTTAGAACAGCCCAGGCGGCAACATAGAGATATCACGGGACGTTTTATTGTGCATCTGCCGTTCAAGGAAAATGTAAACCAATTGGGTGAAACTCATGAAATTGCAAAAAGAAGTTTACTGTCCATGGAAAAAAGGTTTCGTAGGGATCCAGAACTAAAACGACGATATGTCAAATTTATGAGAGAATACGAGAATTTGAATTATAAGGAAAGGGTAGGTGTCGAATCAACAGATATACCGGGAAAAATTTGTTATTTACCCCATCATGTAGTATTTGACGCTTCAACAAAAACCGAAAGTGGAATTAGTTTAAATGACACTTTGTTAAAAGGGCCAACGGTTCAGGAAGACTTTTTTTTTTTTTTTTTATTTTAAACGGACGTTAGTCCAATAACAATTTACATGGGTGTTAAGTAAGATACAAGAATAAAAAACAATTTTATATAAATGCGAAAAAGTATACAGTATTATGAAACAAACTATTATAATATAAATGAATATAAAAACTCAGAAAAGTTCACTAAAAATACAAAAAAATCATATAAAAAAATCAAACAAATATATATTACCAGCTGTCATCAAAAGGTTTGCAGGGGAATTTAAAATGTAATTTTTTTTTGAGAATTGAGGATAAAAAGGTTTAGGATTTCTAGTATTAATATTATTTATTTTTAAATTAATTAATGATAGGAGTTCCGGACAATCAATGAGTCCTAATAATAATTTATGTAAAAATTTTGAAATCAAAAGCATTCGACGTTCTTTGAGTGTATTAAAATTAAGGTAATTAAGAATGCTGTCATAAGAGCTATGGGGAGGTCTGTGTATGTTAAATTTAAATGAAATAAAACGGAGAAAATTATTTTGAACAGATTCTAGTGCGGTGTTTTGTTTAGAAGTATTGTTTAACCAAATTAGAGGACAGTATTCAAGATGGGAACGTACAAGGGAATAAAACAGAATTTTTAGAGGAACAGGATCTATAAATGAGCCACAAGTGCGTTTAATAAATCCCAAATTACGCATAGCTTTATTTCTTATCATTTCTGTGTGAGGGGAGAAATTTAATTTAGAATCAAAAATAACGCCTAAATCTTTAAATTGAGAAACTAGCTCGATATTTATATTGGAAATAGAATAACAATAATTAATTGGGTTTTTTATTAGATAAAAGTGCATAAATTTACATTTATCCACATTTAAAAATAAGTGATTTTTATTACACCATTTGAGTAAGTTATTAATATCTGATTGTAAACAAATTGCATCTTGTTCAGATTTAATTATTTTTATTAATTTAGCATCATCAGCAAACATAAGGATATTAGAGTTCATTATAACATTAGGCAGGTCATTAATAAAAATATTAAATAGAAGTGTAGACAGGTGGTCTCCTTGAGGAACGCCTGAAGGGACTGGGAAAAGTGACGATTTGAATTTGAGGTATTTAACAATTTGGGAACGGTCTGAAAGAAAAGATTGGAACCATTTAAGAAGTGATCCAGAGAAACCAAAAGATTGTAATTTTTTAATAAGTAATACATGATTAACTTGGTCGAAGGCTTTGGAAAAATCAGTGTATATTATATCAGTTTGAGCATTAGATTCAAATGACTGAAGTATTAAGTTTTTTGTTATGGCTAAATTATTACATGTTGAGCGTTTTGGTATAAAACCGAATTGATTATTTACTAGGACTGAGGAGCAAAAATTGTTAAGTTTAGATGAAATTAAGTGAGAGAATAACTTTGGGATTGATGATAATTTTGAGATTGGACGATAATTTGAAATTAGTGAAGGATTACCCTTTTTTAAAATAGGTGAAATAAACGACGTTTTCCAAAAAGATGGATAGGTACCACTAGCGAGGGATAAATTAAAAATACTAGTTAATATCGGTGTTAGGATAAATCTACAATTATAAAGGAAAATAGTAGGTATCTCATCCGGGCCCGCAGTTGAACTTAATTTTAGGTCAGAAATCATTACTTAATTTATATATTAACGCGATTTAGAACTCATAATTATGTTTTAACCACCGATATAAAAAAAATGTACCGACAAATATTAGTCGTAAATAAACATCGGGATTATCAACATATTCTATGGAGAAAAGAAGAAAATGAACCGATAAGCGTATACCGTTTAAATACTCTTTCTTATGGAACGGTACCTGCTTCGTATATTGCGACGGGTTGCTTAAAGATATTGTCGATAACTGAACAAAACAGGTTTCCCAGTGCGGTCGCCGCTATAGGTCACGATTTTTATTTGGATGATTTTTTGAGTGGTGGCGTATCGCAGGCGGCAACTGCCTAATTACGTGATGGTCTTAGTGAAATATTATCAGCAGCCGGTCTTGAATTAAGTAAATGGTAGTCGAATGAATTGTCGTTGATTAATAGTGTGAATGGCATTGAAGAGAATTTGACCCAATTACCTGATATAAATAATTCAATAACAAAAATACTAGGTTTGTGCTGGGACTCGCATAAACATATGTTGCAGTACAAAATCGAGATAAATAAAAATTTGACTGCCGAAATTCTCTCCAAGCGTAATATTTTATCAGAGATTGCTCGAATTTATGACCCATTAGGGCTGATCGGACCAGTAATTATAAAGGCTAAATTAATATTACAAAGTCTATGGAAGGAACGTATTATATGGAATGAGCCAGTAAGTGATGTAATCCGTAAAGAATGGTTAAACTATAAAACTGATTTGAACGCGTTAAATGGCTTAAAAATACCACGAAAAATTACAATAAAAAATAGAATGGTAAACATTGAGTGCATGGTTTAACGATGCTAGTATAAATGTTTGTGGTTGTTGTCTATATCTAAGGTATTCCGACGAGTATGGTAATAATTATAGTAATTTAATCAGCGCTAAAAGTAAAGTAGCCCCTTTAAAAGAATTATCTCTACCGAGATTGGAATTGTGTGCTGCTTTGTAAGTGCGATAGAAAGAAACGCAGCGAGGTTATGCTTAGTTAAGTTGGTTCAAGGTCGATCATTTCCAAGCGAAATAATGCAATTGAAAAAAGGAAAGGAGATCTCAAAGGCAAGTAAATTATATCGTCTTAGACCATTTTTGGATTAAAACAATTTGTTACGCGTGGTTGGGCGTTTAAAAAACGCAGACGATATTTCAGTGTTTTAATGGAATCCTATGGTATTATCGTCACATTGTTCGTTTACCAAATTGTTATTTAGAGAGGAACACATCAAGTTAATGTATAGTGGCCCATAAGTGTTATTAGCGTCTGTTCGATTAAATTATTGGCCTATTAACGGTCGAAACCTCGCACTATTTACCGTTAATAGATGTGTTGTTTGTTTTCGTCACAAGCCTCAAGTGGTGCAACCAATCATGGGAGATCTACCAATGGACCGCCTGTCTCCAGGTTGAGCTTTTCTAGCCACAGGTATAGATTTCTGTGGTTCATTTTTGTTAAAAACTGGATTGAGGAAAACTTCACCGGTTACTAAAGCCTATGTGTGTATATTTATTTGGTTTGCGACACATGCGGTGCATTTTGATTTGGTCAGTGATTTAAGTACCGATGCTTTCTTACGTGCTTTAAATCGGTTTTTTGATAGACGCGGAAAAAGTCAAACTTTGTACTCTGATAACGCATCAAATTTATTGGGTCAAATCGTCAACTTAAAGAATGGTATGAATTATATCAAACGGAAGAACATCAAAGTAAAAATAATAATATGTTGTCTGAAAAGAAAGTGGAGTGAAAGTTTATTCCTGCGCGCTCACCGCATTTTAGGGGTCTGTGGGAAGCTGGATTAAAGTCGATAAAATATTTATTACGTAGTGTCTTGGGTGAGGCACATTTATTTTATGAGGAGCTACTTACTGTAATTACTCGGGCGGAAGCATGCTTAAATAGTCGCCCATTAACGATCCTATCCTCTGATCCAAGCGAATTGTCTCCTCTCAATCCTGGTCATTTTCTCATTGGTAATTCTCTAATTGCTCTACCTGAACCGGATCAAACCAACATATCAAGTAACCGGTTAACATGTTGGAGACGTGTTTCTCAATATTCTCAAAATTTATAGAAGCGCTGGAGTCGAGAGTATTTAGCGCAGTTGTAGGAGAGAACGAAATGGGTTGGTGAGAAAGTACCTAATATTAAATTATCTTTTATACTTGTATATCGTTTTGAAGACAATTATTCAAGGGCGGTGGTATGTTGCGGCGTACGTTATTGTATGGGTATTATTTTTTTTTTGTTTATTATTATTATTGTGATAAGCTGACGATCGGTTTTACTCAGCGGAGAAAAACCAGTCTCCTAATAAATGCCTCACTATGCACATATAGCAAAAGTTTGTTTATTAATTTATAGTTAAGCGACATTAGTAGCATTCTTCTCGTAAAAAAAAAAAATACAGTCTACAGTCGTAACACTATCTTTTGCAGTTTTATCATAATTTCTTTTATACTTATATTTTTCAACCTTTTCCATTATTCCTATAGGTATTTTCAGCTTTAGTTTTGTATTGATACGATCACATTTGCATGTGCTCATATCTCTGTCTTCCATGACATCATTGTACCGTTTACTAGATATATATATATATAATTAACACAGTGACATACAACAATACTAACAGGAGGGCGGACTGCACACATAAACACTTTTTGCAACTCACGTCAATGTGCCATAATAAGATATCCCTACGACAGTTGACCTTTTACCATCTTCGCGATCACTACTTTGTTTAATAATTAACTTATTTTGCTACCCCGTATATTATAGTGTATGCGTGTTGTAGTATCACACTTTAATACATGTAATAATTAATACTTATATTTAATAAAATATATCACCAAATCAGTGTTTCCCCGTGGATAAGATGAATAATAAAATAATACCCTTACACAAGATTTAATCTCCCTCTTACGCATTCCATAAAACGCCCACGTAAAAGATTCTATCACATTAACCAATCAAATACAGCAAAAATATTTCAAGAATCTCACCAGAGATCGCTAAACCAGTTTTTGCAGGCTATAAAAAGGCCAATTTCCCCCAAATTCGGGTGGTTCCTTTGCACTTGGCTCTCTTACTGTGGTTGCTCTGAACATCCCTCTAGCGAATACTGGGACGCTTTGCCATTCTATACATCTCTACGGCTCTCTGCAATACTCAACTAAGATACAAAAAGTGAATGTGCGTGATTTTACGTTTCATTCTAGTAACAATTCTATATGAAATCTACATAATTTTTACCCTCTTTCGTAATTACTGAAAAATATTATACATCTTATTTTCGGTCGAATACTTTTGGTGATATAAATATTCTGACACATATAAAATATTGGTGTTTATTTATTTCTTTTTATTTACATTTATATTCATATATATATAAACATACTCTGAGGTAATTAATTTGATTGAATTGTATTTACTACTTATTGAAGGGCCACAACCTGGCTGGACAGGGTAATAGTACAATAATATCATAATTAGAATTTTAGTTAATCATAAGATTTATTCAAAGTGTCTCTCCACTTATCGACCAGCTAGTCTGATCTATGCCACAGTGCCGGCAATCGGAGTGTAGGACACTTATATAATTTACAACGCATAAATTATTAATATTATTTTGTAGTATACATTAGATATTCTGAGGTAATTAATTTGATTGAATTGTATTTACTACTTATTGAAGGGCCACAACCTGGCTGGACAGGGTAATAGTACAATAATATCATAATTAGAATTTTAGTTAATCATAAGATTTATTCAAAGTGTCTCTCCACTTATCGACCAGCTAGTCTGATCTATGCCACAGTGCCGGCAATCGGAGTGTAGGACACTTATATAATTTATAACGCATAAATTATTAATATTATTTTGTAGTATACATTAGTTATTCTAAGGTAATTAATTTGATTGAATTGTATTTACTACTTATTGGAGGGCCATAACCTGGCTGGACAAGGTAATAGTATAATAATATCATAATTAGAATTTTAGTTAACCATAAGATTTCTTCATAGTGTCTCTCCACTTATCGACTAGCTAGTCTGATCTCTGCCACGGTGCGGGCAATCGGAGTGTAGGACACTAACATAACTTATCGTGCATAAATCTATAGTACAGTCGCATCTAACCTAGGTCGTCCTACAGGTGATTGAAAAGAAGTAGGCCACATATCATAAGGTTCTTTGCATAAAGACAAAGATATTATTTGAGATCTCGCGTTGGTACATCCAGCTACGAAATACAAATAAATCAGAGTCGAAATATTATACTAAAAACTAATATTTTACTAATATATATTTATAACTAACATCATACTAAACAACTAAAAGTGTCTCTCCACTTATCGACCAGCTAGTCTGATCTATGCCACAGTGCCGGTGATCGGAGTGTAGGACACTAGTATAATCTATTGTGCAAAGAACTGAAATTGAGCTCGCATCTACCCTAGATCACCATTTGGACGACTGAAAAGACGTAGGCCACTTGGAAATAGTTTTGTTGCACAGGACAGTTATGTTGCTTAGAAGTTATTCATTTGCTTTATAAATTATTAAATAATAAATATATTAACGTAAAACATCATATACAAGGTTAAGAACTATACTACATAAATATACAAAAGGTTTTTGCAAAAAGACAGAGTTATAACAAACTTAGATTTCACCTTGGGTAGATTTAATATAGAATTGTACTAGAAAAGTAGTTATACGCGAGTTAGTAATAATATAAACCGTATAAATATAATTGCGTACATTAATGCGTAAACGTATACATCGATAATTGTTACATCAACAACATCATTCATCTCAAGAGAATATCAGGATAGTCAGAGGTAAGTGAAACATTTGTTTATATAATAAGCTTATAATAGATCCTTTACTGAAGAATATTTTAGTAATAAACAATTAGAACAAGATAGGTCATTGAGAGTAAATTAAAATATTTTTATAAAAACACGATATTTGTGAGTCGCCGGAAATTAGTGTGCGCATTTCTGTGCAGGAGCTAGGTAGTGACCCTTCTTTGTAATTCCATCTTATTCATATATTAGACGTTTTTACACAAGCATACATACCCCGAGATCCCTTTCTATTTCATTTTATTGTAGTCACTGCCGAGTATCTATAGCCACTTTTACTTTCCATTGGTGCCCATCCTTTTCACACTACGCCCGCTATGATTATTATTTCCTTATTGGCCACCTGTGTTACATTTCTTTACATTTCTTCTCTTTCACACCCCGAACCCCAAACACATTTAACAACATTCCTTCGCCACCTTATTATAGCCATTTTTATTTATTACAAGACTACCTACCTACCCACTCACTCGACTCTCTTTTTGTTTATTACAGTGTGTCACCGTCAGCTCCCTGTTGGATTATATCATCTCTAGGTGTCCAGCAGGTTGTATTATCTATTTAATATTTCAATTGCTTAATAAATATTTATTTATATCGTTGTTAACCTAAAGTGTTATATATATATATTGTAGTGCGACCCTTGGTAGTTCCTCTAAGGGAATATAAATTAAATAGGAAACTTCAGTACCTAAGGTAGATATAGCCTAGCCAGCTATCCCCCGTTGGTCCCTTAGAATACTGTCGACGGACATTTAGGCTAAACCCCTAAATAGCGACGTAACAGTATCTAATACTAGGAATTTTGTTCTTACTAATCTGTTCATCAATAACTCACAAGGAGCTGCACCAATATGTGGTATTGTTGTACATCGATACTCTAGTAATAAATCACTCAATTCCTTTCTTTCACCTATGGATGATTTTTTTAACAATTGTTTAGCTGTTTGAACTGCTCTCTCTGATAAACCATTTGACTGTGGATAGTTAGGACTAGATGTTCTAAGTTCAATGTTCTATTCTTTGCAAAATTTTCTGAATTCATGCGAACCAAATGGTACGTTATCTGATACTATTATTTTGGGACACCCATGTACACTCATAAATTAGTCTTAAATTGACTTACCATTTCATTAGCAGTTTTTCTTAGTATTCTATTAATTTCTAACCACTTTGAATAATGATCTGCTATTACTAAATAGTCATTACCACCAAATGTACTAAAACATTTTATAGTACATGTTATTTATATAACTCGCACTGGAAGAGGGTGTGCAGAGTGTTATCAGCCTCTCCCGGACCGGACATCACTTGGGTGAGACGATAAGTCATCTCACCGTGAGTCCGGTCCACCCACCTGTCCAGCCAATCGGGTCCTATGAGGGACCTGGTCCAGTCGCCTCTCGTCATTTCCTCCGAGAGGCGAGTCCGACACCGGAGCATGGTCATCCGCCTGAGCGCTAGCCGGTCCTCGGGTTCGAGGGACCGGTTGCGTTCTCGGCGGAGCTCATGCCCGGCGGCGCGTTCCTCGGCGAGCAGGTCGGTAGGGGGTAGTGACGACAGGATACCCGCCGCCACTCCGGACACCGTTCGGTACGCCGAAACTGTCCGGATCGCCGCCCGCCTCTGCACCCTGAACAGGGCTTCACGGTTTTTGGACGAATACTCAAGAGTATCCGCCCAAACCGGGGACCCATACAGGAGGACCGAGTGTACGACGCTGACTAAAAGTCTTTATTAATTATTAATCCTATTTATAAATCCAAATTTAATACATGTACTTAAACCTAAGATAGGAATACAGTTATTATTACAATTATCAACAATAATAAACCTATTAATTATGTTTTTATTATTTACGGTACACTTTAAATCAACATAACCCAAATTTTTTTAGAATAAATTAAACGTTTATTAACAAATATTATATAAAAAAACATTTTCAATAAGGTTTAACTATATTTTTATAAACTTTTAGTAGGAACTACTTCAAGTTTTTATACGGCACCCAATCATTTTTCTCGCCATCATAACAATAAATAAATGATTTATCACCCTCATAATCATTAAGTGTGTTTTTTTTCATATCTGAAACGAAATAAAAATTTACAATTATTATCAATACAAGAGTAACTAATATTCGAAAAGATAAAAAATGTAGAAAGAATTAATACAGGAGTTATCCAAATAAGGTGGCGAACATAAAGTTTAAAGATTCCCATTGAAAATCTTTGATTTTTTTGAACAGTATATCAAGCATTTTATTAAATAAAATTTTTATTCCTATATTAATTTTTTTTTTAGATTTTTTTACTTTGAAATGATATAAAAAATGATTTACTAATGGATAATGGTAATTTTTTTTTCAATTAAGCAATATAATACTTCATGATAATTAAAATGTTTATTAATTTCAAAAAAAGTTTAATTTTGGATCTTAAAATATGGGACTGTACATAAAGTTGAGGATGAGATGGTACTTATAAACTATGTTACGGGAACTACACCAAACACATGTAATACGACTTTTATCACAGACACAAAATAAATAATAAATATATACGCCGCGACTATTATTTAAAAGAACAATAAAAATAATTAATGGTAATGACGCCACAAGTATACTAAGTATACTCAAGACTTGAGAAACGGCACGATTTAAGAAATAATGTAGATATAATTATAATGGGTCGGCTAAATAGTTATAATTAATATAATATAAAAGCATGTGGCAGGAGGTATTTATATTAAGGATTAATATGCGTAAAGTAATGTTAACAAAGCCAACTGGCAGTGTACACGCGCAATAAGGAATCCCACTATATAAAAGGCAGCAAGTTTAACAGTTTATATATTAATTAACACAAGATTTATTAGCCTAAAACTCAAAAAGAGTAAGAAGTGTAGTCATACAAAGTAAAGAAATAGTGTGAATGTTTCCATGAAAGTTTTAACATATTCATAATATGGACTTAGTATTACATTTTCAATCTGAAGATGAAAAAGATATTTGTGCGTATATTTATTTGAAAAATTCTTAATTTGTCAAAACGTAATCGAAGAATCAACAATATCTTTTGATGTAATAAACTTTATTAAGAAAAGTAATGGACCTTTTCTGAACTTAGCCATTGCTCCTAGGATTTTTTTATGAGTCCCAATAACTTAATATACTACAAAACGCAGAATAAATACAAGAAATTAATATTGAGCGTTGAAAATTACGTTGTTTATGGATTTTCCATAATACGCAAATTGTAAATTTTGTAAATTCTATAAGTAGCGTTAAAATTATGTCTCCATCATAAAATTTTGACCAGACGTTTTAATTGCCTAAAGGAAAGTACTATGTAAATTTGAAAAAAATTCGTTCAGTAACTTTTGTGTAATGAGATGATAAAGTTGGCTATTAATAATATAATGAAATTGAAGTACTATTTAATATGAGTAAAACAGTGCTAGTTCCACAGTGATAGCTTATTTGGATGTGAAGTTATAGGCTCTAGAAGATAGGCTGTTTTTTCATGTTTTTAATTATAAAAAATGCACTATCTGGTAAAAAAATAATAATAAAAAAAAAAATATTATTTTCGTAGTCAATGACCTTTAAGAAGTCTATGATATAAATTTCATAAATTTCTGAACTATACCTGCACACACATAAGGTGATTTCACATGGAATGACCCGAAAACATTAATAGACTACAACAAATAAGGGATGAAATTCCATAATTAATAAAAATATTATGAAAAAATCATAAAAAAGTCAATTTTGAATTTTGTTAATTGGTTTTAATAAAATTTAATGTTCGTGAGCATAATGTTTAAAAAAATTTGTCATACAAATATGCAGACCTTTTAAAATTGTTAAAAAATTACATGAAAAATTATAAAATCACTTTATCCTTAAACGGTAAAGACATCATAAATACCTTTGGAATCTACCTTAGATATGTTTAAAGTTATGTAGATGTGCAATTCAAAAGATTAGTTAACCCTAATAATAAAGTAGAAGAAGAGGGAAAATCGGAAATTTATAAACTACAATGTGAAAGTTGTGATGAATGTTACGTTGGGAAAACAAAAAAAACACAGGGTTAGATTTAAAGAACACTTAAGAAGTATCAATAATCAAGAAATTAATAAATCTCTTATGGATAAACATTTACTTACATATAATAAGAATAATGTTAATAAGTCATCATTAACATTATTCCCAAAATACGTATACACGATTAATAATATTTGCAAAAAGTGGTGAATTTTCATTATATTTTACCATTGTAATTGAATTCGTTGTCCTGATTTGTATACTTATTGAGTAGATCATCAAGTTTATCGTCTTTTAATTGACCAATATTCAATTTGCTACTCAAAATGACTTTTTTTGCATACTCTTTTGACACAGTGCCATTTTCTTTCGTATCACCTTCTCGAAATCGTTCGTAATAAGCATCTTCAATACATTTCAGACGGAAAAATTCTTGTTGAAAAATTGTATAGCAAATAATTTCATTAGCTAAGGAAATTAAAAAAAAAAAAAGGTTTAATACAAAATATTAGCCTGTGCATCAGAATAAAATTCAAACATAAAGTATTAGAAGTACTATTTCACTCATCGAAAAATATAATTAAATAAAGAGTTTTTAAATATTTTTTAAGTTTGTACAAAGACAAAATATACTTTTGATTCAAAAATCTTAACATTAATAATATTATTGCTAATTAATACATATATTTTGAATAGCAAATTTCATTTACTATAACGAATTTTGGTGTTTTTTTTATCTGATATTTAATTTAATGTCCATTTGACTCTATAGTAGAGAGAATAGTTGGTTTCATAAATAGACACTGCTCCGAATTTAAAACCATTAATTGTTTTAAAGTATTATATAATCTCTTGTTAAGTCTATTTTAGAATTTTTTTAATTTCGAATTTTAAGTAAAATAATCGTATTAATAAACTTGAAAATATCTAACGACGTTTCTTATTAATAATGGCACTGAAATTAGATCAGCTGATATCTCTTGACATTTTAACATTAGAATTGAGTTTAAAATCATTGATCTCTAGATGGTTCTATAACGACGTAGTTTTTATCTATAAATTAATGAATGTTAAATTATCCTGTCCAGAGTTTCTAAGTAAAATAAACTTTTAAATTCCAATTTATAATTTAAGAAATAATCGCTCGTTTTTATTACCACAATTCCCAACAAACTTAAATATAGTCCGGAGTATTGAGAATAATTTTAAATAGATGTAACAATATACTGAATTTAATTTTATAAACATCATTTTTTCAAAATATATATGAAGAGTAAATGTGTCAAATGTTCTATGTGCTAAAAACATATTTGTTCAGAAAACACAAAAAACAATGGTAACATGGGCATGTCTCACATGTCGAACACCATCTATGAACGCAATTTTGTACAAGTAAAAAATTTAATTGACATTTGAAACACATACAAGATTGTGGCCTTTGGCACATAGAACATATATCAGAAATAAAACAATTTTTCACTTTTTTGGCACATAGAACGTTTGACACATTCACTCTTCATATATATATATATTTTTTTTTTTTGAAAATTTTGAAATTTTTTGCTCTGATGGCCGATATTACATAATAGACAAAGAAATTGTCAAGAAACATTTTTTTTTAATATCGTACGCTTCAAAAGCAATAACTTTATATAGGTTGAGAGGTGACTACTTAAGCTCGCAACGAACTATGGAGTTGCCACCTTCATGGCTATCTATCAGTAAGAAATAATTTATTCGTCAACTACTTATACAATAAACTTGATTGTAAAAAAAAAGACACCCAGTCAATCAGTGAAATATTATCCATCTTAGGATTCGCTGACGATGTGGCACTCCTAGCTAATGATGAGCATGATTTGGAAAAAACATTGGAAGAATTGAAGAGATGCTATCAGTAATATCATTTGACTATCAATTGGCAAAAAATTAAACTTATAATATGACAAAAAACAGACTGATGCGCAAAATCGAAGTTAGGATTTATAAATAAATAAAAATTGTCATGTTCCATGTAATATTATATTAGTATTTATAATAGTAACATATATTATGATGTTATCATTTGTACATGTATGTCACATATTATGAATATACAAGATTACCATTACAGGGTTCTCTTATTGAAAATACAAAACAACCAGTAAATTATGCGATAAGATCTACTTATTGTAGAGATTATTAAGTAACGTCTACACGCAGAGCCCTCATTATAATTAACCAACAGTGGCGTAAATAACACACTCACAGGTCCCGCAATGCGGGGGCGCCAAATTACGAATTCTCAATATCACTTTTACGAGCAAAATTTAGTATAGGGGCGCTGTCAACAGTTCTACGGGGAGGCGCGCGCTTGCTTAGTTACGCCATTGTTAACCAATTAAAATAGAAAGCCTCAGCTTCCAAGATCACGCTAGAAATCGCAGGGGTAGCATCCCCTTTCTGACTATAAAAAGCCATTTTTCGCCGTCAAAACCAGTTCTTTGGATAATTTTAAAATACACAAAATTTACGACGCTCTACTCAATATTTCACTCTACGGGACTTGGTCGTTTTTTTTTTTAAATAATTTGGACTTGGAATTTTTTTCAATTAAAAAACACTTAGCCTATTTTCTAATTTTTGGGACTTATAATTTTTCTTTTCTTTAAAACTAAATGACACTTTGAAATTTTAAAGTGTATTTTGTTTTAGTGAATCTTTTAATCTAAATTAATTTGTTTATCGAATTATAATATTTTTTTTACTTATTTTTCTTATTGTGGAAATAAATTGGAAATAGTATTTTAAACATTAAACTTTTTTTTTCTAATTATTTTATAAACCCAACAACACTTTAAAATTATTTTTAAACAGTAAAAATTTATTGGGAGCTTTTCTTATTGGGTAGCTAATCTTGTCGCTGATGTCTATTTTTTAACAAACATCGCAACGGCAGACAACGCAAAGAAACTTTCATGCTTTCAAGGCGATAGCGCCGGGACACGTGGGGCTACCACATACCGACTTGATAAATTTTTTACATAGATATAAATAATTTTGAATCTTAATTTGGCCAGGCCAGAGGAAGATTTAAGAAATATTGGTGTCGATAACTTAACAAAATATATTCTCTCAAAAGAAAATACTTAATCAACAAACGTAAAAAAATTTAATAAGGAAAAATTATAAATTATATTTCTAATAAAATATAGTTTTTAGAATCTTAAACAAGTAAAATAATTCATAGATTCTGTGTAAATAAATCATATTATTTAAAACTTGAATCGTTTTCGTAAGTAATTATATTGACTATATGGCGTGTAGTGTAAATCGTAAACATAGTGTATTTAATACCAGAATCAACATTTAATTACTTGAAATATTATTGCATTACATAGGACGTTAGGTAAGTATAATGTAACCTATGCTTTCGAACATCCAACAATCTATTGCGTAATAAACAATTAATAAATCAATAAAAGAATATTTAACTTCCCGAAATTCCACAACCAAGTCCGATCTACCACTACGATCTTATATCCTTTATATTTCTTATATTACCCTTTTTTGTTTTTATTTTTGGTTTTTTACATCCAATAGCATAAGTATTAGTGTGAGGAAACGCTTCATAAATCATGGAGAATGACAACTATATGGCTGCGAAACCTGGATAAAATATAAAAATATAGCAGAACAAGGAATACTTAAGAACTTTGAAATGTGGAGTTGGAGATGGATGCTGCGATTGAGTTGGATAGAAGACCTTATTAACGAAAGTACACTGGGTGAAATAGATAAACGTAAATAGATACACAAAACCATTAAAACCTAGATTGGATTGTGATCATGATTGGTCATATATTGAGACACCATATTGAACTAATTTATAGAATAATAGAACGGAAAATTGAAGATAAGAGTGGCGGAAGACGTCCAAGAACTTTATTTGTCAAACAAATTATTTCCTATGCTAGACTATCAAGCTACACTAAATTGAAGAGAATAGCTGGAAAAAAGAAAAAGTGTAGAATGAATTTAAAATTCGATTAAAAATATTAAATATCAATTACTTCCTTCCTCCTTATCACTATCGTCATTTCCTTCAAGAGCATATAGTTGATCTATTATTTCTTTTATTTCTGACAGATTAAATTCATCAGCTTTGTATTCTTGATTCTTCTGATATTCATGTACTACTAATTGTGCGCAATAAAATGCTATGGGATTCTCTTTCTATAAAAATTTAATTTTAAGTTCTTTATTGGTTTATAACAGTTAATAAAATAAATGTATATGTAAAAAAAACTAAAAAACACGCTTTTAAAGAACATCAAAATAAAAAGTTAAAAATAATTTTTAAAATATCCTTAAAACAATAATACTACTACTTTTTGTATAATAAAAATTATTTTAAACTTTTTAGTTTTGACGTGCTTTAAAAGCGTGTTTTTTTAAACTATATATTTTTTTTATTTTGTTTTCTATTGTGCAACATGTTTATTTAGGCCCGTTTCACAATAGCGCTTTTTTTTTTGTTTCACACTATACCGCATTTTTGCTATAGCGTTTTTTATTTATTTTCAAAATGAATGTCCAACAGACAAGGTGTATGGTAAAGGGTCAAAAAATATACTTAATAAAAAGAAAATATCTGAGGTGTTTAAAAAAAAAAATGGATTTTATTCTTCCAATTTTAAAAAAGTTGATAATTTTCAGTAAAAAAGTTTAAAAAATGTTAAATTTTATTAATTTTAAAAATCGTAATTTTTTGGGACGGTATGGCCGAGTTGGTAACGCAACAGTGCTTGACACGCACTGTCTCAGGTTCGAAACTTGGTCATAGGCGACTTCATTTGGCGAACGAGAGATCAGTTCGGTAATTGGAGTTGCCATCCAACTCTTTGGCGACGGACTAACCATCCGTCCTGGAGTATAAATGGTTAAAGGAACCTCCTCCTAGGGGAGGTTGCAAGGACCCTTAATGGTTTAATAAAAGTGTAAAAAAAAATTTTTTTTTGGGGAATTTCTCCATTTATGGGTAACGATAAAATTTTTCAATTTTTTCAACTTGTTAAAAATTACTCAGAATATCATGAGCAATTTAACTGTAGTATACTTGCTTTGGATATTTATAATTACTTTCTTTAATTTATAATGAGTTTAAAAAAAAATGAATGTGTTATATTTCATTCTAAGGTATCCAAGAGAGTAATTAAGAGAGATTTAGGCGTATGTTTTATTTAGAACAAAAATATTTAATGACGATACAATTTTTTTGGGGGGGTTTAGGTAGTAAACATTTTTTTTATTTATATGCCCTCTTAAAACAAACTTCAATTGCGCCACTGAAGGTATGACTTTTGTATTTTTTTGTAGAGATATAAATTTGTTTGAATTGAATCGTTTATATTAATGGATAATTATACAGACTGTAGGAAAACTATTCATAAATAAAAACAACTTTTATGAATGTATTCACTTTTTTAATGAACGTTATTAGAACGTGTTCATTCGACAACAAAATGAATTTGAGTGTGAGCGAGTTATTTTTTATACGTAAACGAATTCAATTTTTTATTAAACGTTCCGGAATATTCTTAAAAACAAATAGAAATAATATTAAATAAAAAAGAATGATAAATTCCAATTATTCTCCTATTTTACCTCCTTTAACCTTATGCCTTGTTGTGACTTGCCTATATGTGCACACATAATTTTATTTTGTTGGAAACATTTTAATGGAATGAGTGATTGCCCTTTCCCGGAGGGGACAAAGCCTGTGTATAATATACATGCATAAATACTCACTTGCATCTTTTTAATCGTTGCTGTCCATAGCATCGAATATAAAGGTTGCTACTCTAATATCCCTGTCCTTATACCTTTCATCCCTTGAATTCCACAAATTTGGTCTTTGTTGAACTTTATTTATTAAAATTTCAGTGTCTATAATGATAGTCGTTTAACGTGAACTTGCTAGGGGTAGAAGTCATGACAGAATGACGAAAAAATACAAGATGCGTACGTCGTAAGCGTCAATATGAACATGTTAATTCTATCAATGTTTGGTCAGGTCGCGTATTATATACCGGACCGATGAGATGACTGCGTACGGATCAAGAAAAACGCGTAACTTGAAATCCGTGGGCGTATCGTAAGCGGCGCTATTAAATGCTACACAGTAATAACGTTTCTATAAACGACGCATAAGAAAACGCACTAGTGTGAAACAGGCCATACAGTTTTGTTTTTATTTGATTACTACACGCCGTGTGCTTGAGTTATACAGAGTGATTTT